TTTTTTTTTTTTTTTTGTCTCCCCTTTACTTGGATGGAGTTCATTAGCTCTGGATGGTTTTCAGCCAGAAGTGCTGCTGCTGATTGTCCTTTACAAGAACGAATTGGAGCAGTCTTGTTTTATAGTTTTTGGATCTCGTGCCTGTTTTCACCAACTGACAAGCTAGCCCTGAATTCCTCCAGTCCACGAATAAGCACGATCCAGCTACAATAGCACAGCCCTCTGCACTCTGCCTGTCAATACGTCTCGGTCCTGACCTGGAGGAATCTTGCCTGAAAACGGGTAGGAGGGAAGCAGTTTTCATGGCCACTTCTGTCTTTGGACTCTGTCTAAGGCTGCCAACAAGATTGCCAGTTGTGTGCGTCTCTGGTGACACAGATCTCTGTCCACTAGGAATGGAAGTGACAGCTAGCTTGTCTTTATAGAGGCCCCCTAACAGCCTTCAAATGGTATTCTAGCCTCTCGGACTGAATCCCAATTTGTGGTCCTGAGGTGAAAGGTTCTGAAATAATAACAGTCATACAAAAAAGACCAAATAACCTGCAAATATCGGTCCCAGCGTCATTCTTACCATCAGATGGATTTTCCTTAAAAACAATTAAACCACTGACATTGAAAAGTCCAGCCTGGAAATTGCTTCCAGACAATGTGCAAACATAATCTAATCTATAGTAGTTGAAGTAGATTATTGTAGTCAGCTCAAATGAGGGATGTCGAGTTTTGTTTTTTTTTTGTCTAGATTAGATAACACCGGGAAACTGTTTTATAGCAGTATTTCATCCCCCGTCAGCACTCTTCTGCATGGTCCCTGACGGGTATCCTTCTAAGGCTCATCCACAGCAGCGAGGCTGGTGAGTCGTACTGTGGCTATTCCCAGGCGATGATTAGGCAGACTGTAAACTTAGCAGAGAACATCGTTTAGACAGATCCCAAACGGAAAATGCCGTACAGGAAGGGGGGTAAAGAAGGGGTGGGATCAGATCTTCCACTCTGCGCTCCAGGAATGATTGAAACTCTGCTCTTCAGCTTCTAGTGCTCCTTGACGGTCACTGTTTGTAGTGTTGGGACTACAAAGAAACCCTTCCTTTTCTCCTTGAAAATTTTTCGTGTTTCTTTTAATGTACAAATCTCTGTTCACATCACTGGTTTCATAGTGCTTGACATTTGAATAGATCAGCGTATGTGCATTGTCGTTAGGCTGTATGAGGACCTGATCAGCAAAGGGTGGGTGGACATATGGACCTGACAAATGGCCTTTGGTTGTCCCTCGGGCAAATTTTTATGGAGAACTGGACACTTATTTTCTAATACAGGTTATGGATTCTCATATCCAAATTCTGTTGCAAGCAACTGGCGGTAAAAGAAGAATTGGTGCATTAAAGCAAACTCTGCTCCTGCAGTCCGAAATAGCTTACTATTAAATTACCTCGGATTAACTTCAAAGCTCATACGTATTTTAGCCAACACATTTGATAATTGCTGGGTGGTAGAGATTCTTTCATGTTGTACTTGGGTTAAAATTGTGGGAGAAGGGACTGTCTGATTATGTTCAATTTTCTGTCTTTTTTGATTGATTTATTTTTTTTGCAGATGGGGGGGGGGGTAGCTTGTTTATTTTTCAAACCACGGGACTATATTGCCATACACTAAAATGCTTTTGAGGGCTTAAGTAGCTATTTGAATAGACATAGATATTTGATATCTATCCTAGATATCTAGAAAAAAACATTTAAAAATACATGCCTTTTAAAAGAGGCAGATGCATCTGCTGTACTCCATTTTGGTCATGTCTAATGCAGCTTCATTGGCCTTTCTGTAAGCCTCGTTCATTTTCATCCCGTGTGTTTTCTCCACCTTTGGTCATTTGGATATGCATATGGAAAAATCCATATGCATTTGTTTCTTAGTGAAGTTTAATTTGACTGCAAGATACACCGGTAGCTAGCCTGTTGGAGGCTAATATGATCCTTCTTTAATAAAATGGCAGTGGAATCATTAAGATATTTTATATTGTCATAAATATAAAAAGCATTGTGTATTATATCCTTTCAGAAAGATGCCAAGAACTTGACAGCATTGTTATTAAGGGATCATTGCCTCATTTTAACATATTACACTATAATATATTGAATACAAGTTTTGGGTGGGTAGAATTATGGAAGAAATAGTTAAGAGATGTTTTGTATGATACATTCATGCCTTGATTTACTTTGACAGGACAATTTGTTGCTCTTTTTTTTCCCCCCCAAAAAGTGCTGATGAAGTTTTACTCTCAGTATATGTTGAAACGTAATGCAGGCTGCCAAAAATGCTAATCAGTCTTGAAAATCTATTTTGCGCCTTGCCATTCTGCTTACATTCATCATGAAATAGTTTCCAATATAGGAAGTGCAGGACACTAATCCTGCTTAGCTAGGAAGATTACAGTATCTTGAAAGCAAAAAACATGTGAGAGAATTTGGAATGGTTTAAGCCTTTGCTCTTTCAGTAATATATTTTTAAAGAAGTTTTGTGCTCTCCCGTTGGTTTAAATGTGAAGTCCTTGGAGGAGGAAATTTCTACAGATATTTCTGAGTAGGAACTGTATTTTTCTGAAGGCGGTGCTTAGCTCTTGGAATTACTTGAGATTTATTTTCAGTTAATGATCACATGTTTTGAATGAATGCTGCCACTGATGCACAACCATTTAAAAAAAACCCCATTGAATTGCCATAACAACATTATTAAGCTCTTATTATGCCAGAGGTTAAAGCTGAAGTTCAAATGCTGCACCTAATTTTTTTTCATTAAACTTATCTGCAGTCTCTAGAGTAGAAGCAGTTGCAGGAACAGATCTGAACGGTGTTTAATAAAACATCATTGTGCCAATAATAAAAATACCCAAATCAAGAAGAGTTCCCTAGGGTCAATCATTGAATGCTTTTCACATGTAACCTGCTTATCTGTATATTAATCGTGTGGCAAGGTGCTCTGCAGCCTTTCAGGAAAAGAAAGAATGAGAGTTTTTCTGTATTACCCGGTAGATAATTTAATTGGGAGCCAGGATCAACCTTTTAAATCTGGTGCAGGTTGCAGCCATCACAAGGATAATGACTCCCATTTCCCACACAGGGCAGCTTTTAACTAGGGACAGTTCAGAGCATGTGCTAGCCAAACTGGTGATTTTTTTTTTTTTACAGTGACCTTAAAACAGGATTTATTATAACAGCTTGTTTGGCTTGCAACATTTTAGAATTGCATCCATATTTATTTTTAGTACTTGGTTTTTTAGTACATTTCTCTGGGACTCTCCTAGCTATGAAATGATATTACTCAGGAGCCATTATACATTTTTTCTGAGTAATCCCAAAGGAATGAACTATCATTTTGCTGCCTTTGCCAGGAAGGTGGAGTAGAAGCCTGGCATATGGGCTAAAAAGCATTGGGAATTGAAAATTGTGTCAAACCCTTTGCTGACTCGGTGAGACCTTGAGCCACAGGTCAGATTGAAAGAATATAAAACAAAGTAAATCAGTGTGGGATGTCCTCACAGTCCAAGTTGCTTCTATGTGTTGATTAAAAGAAGCAGCTGATCACAGTGGATCCTGAAGATGCTCATAAGATGATTATCACTCTTTATTTGATGAATGCTGGAATAGTGACATGGGCACTGTTATCATTAGGTTCCCAAGTCAACACACTGGTTGGGGTAAAGTGATGTGCTGCTTCTAGCACTGTCCTGCTCTCATTACACTGGGTTTACATTTTTAGAGGCTTTTCTGGAAGCTTTTAATGCTAGACACTTAGTGGTTGGGTTTTTCTACATGAAAACTTAGCTTAGAGGCACAGTCTGTGGAGGTAAATAGTTCCTTGCTGAGCCATTGCAAGCCAGCCTGCTTCCACCTCTCTTCCTTGCTTCTGCCTTGGTTCATTTTGTGGACATGATTCCAGGTCCATGCCTTTTTACACCCAGATAAGTTGAGGATAATCCTTGTTGGACAGATTTAAAGTCTGTCTGTACCTGGAGATGTTCAGATGAAAGAAGCTACGCAAATGCAAGGGACTGTTGTTGTTACTGAGATGCTATCGGGTGCACGCATGCTGCAGCAGCACAAACCGCATCCCCAAGGAAAATCAAATGTGTGACACTTTATGCCCCACTGTCTCATTGCAAAGGAGCTCTTTGCTTTTTTTTGGCTGCAGCCATTAAACTTGTCTGTAATCGTTTCGCACAATTGTTGGACTTCCTGATTAATCATGTATGTGGGTCAGGCTGGGAAAGCAGCCTAAAGCAGCTCTGCGTGCTCTTTCCTTCCAGTAAAATGAGTAAATGTAGGCAGAAATGTGTTGTTAAAATGGCTTAATCCTCAGGCTGGTATAGCCAGATTGAATAAAAAGGGCAGCTGGAATGTCAACTTGTTTCCACACTACCTTTATGAAACCCAAGCTGCTGTTACTGCGTGCAAGCCAGTTAGGACCCAAATGTTTATCAAAGCAGCCTTGGCTAAAAAGATGCGAAGAAAGCATGTTTTTCTGGTTTGTGTTTGCTTTACCTTGAGATCATTTTACCCTAGGCATGGAGCAGCAGCTGGGTGTCTAATGCAAATTGACAATTGTTAATGCCTAGAAACAAATGCCAAGCATAGCCTTTTTTTTTTTTTTTTTTTTTTTTTTTTAATGCTTGCACAAAAAGTCTACGGCCCCTGGCTTTTTATACCACCCCATATGGAACCGTCTCAATCTAAATTTAAAAAAAAAAAAAAAAAAAAAAGTTGAATGTGGGTAGCAGACAGTCTAGCAGAGATCAGTCAGATCACTGCGTTGTTTCTTTCGGTGGCCTCAGCATAAGAAAAAGGCATCGCTGTCTTTCTCGTACCCATTTAGGGCAGAAAGACAGATCTATTGGCCCATGTAAATACTGGGTAAGTCCTAAATGTTGGATTGAAAGCTTGTCATATGGTTAGTTTTCTGTCTAGTTATCTGAATCAGCAATGCGTGTAAGCTAAAATTAAAGATCTTTGCAACGTTGATGCTCCTGAAACTTGCAGACTTAAACAAATGGAGTTAGGCAGTGCTTCTGTAATTCACAATTTTTAAGAACAGGTCTTGCTTGCTGTTAAAAGCCTTTGGCATGCTCTTCTCCGACAGCAGCATTTGTATTTATTCTTTGGGACGTATTATCTGGGGGCAAAATAGGAGGGGAGGAGAGCTAGACCAGTTTTCTGTGTGGTTCGTTCAAGGAGCCAAGGTTGGTACGTCAGAAGTAGAGAATTTTTAGAGATTCCCACATAGCAATTTATAAGATTTACTTTTTGTGCAAGATCTAGATTGTGTCTCACCGACTTGAGATGTCAGCTCAATGCAGACCCAAGACCAAGGATCGCCAATAGCTATCATTTCTGTACAGCTTGGGGAGATTGACTTCTAAACTTTGGCAGAGTCCCTAATTGTGAGTGTGTATGTGTATATGTGTTTTTGTTTTTTTCCCCTCAGATATAGATGACTTAAAATGTGCCCAGTTTGGAAACTATAACAGCGGCTCTGCGGTAAGCAGCCTTGCAAGCTATGAGTGGCCAGACAAAGAAGACATTCCTCAGAGCAAGAAGCCCTCTTCCTTTAGCCCAGGGAGTGGATTCTCCTCAGCTACCTCAGTTCTACAGAAGAAGGAGACTTTGTTTGGCAGTTCAGAAAACATTACCATGACGACAGTTTCCAAAGTGACCACCTTTTTTAGCGAGGAAGCTTTACAGGACGTTGCGTTCGCAGCCTTTGCAAACTTTAAAGAACCTGGCCTTACATCCAGTGGTCAGGGTGATGATGATGTTGGAGACTTTGGAGACTTTGCAAGGCCGTTATCAGAAGTGCAGGATACAGCAGCAGTTGATGGAAGCCAAGAGGTTGACTTAGCCACCAGTGGCATCTCCTCTGAGCCACCAAAAGAGTGCACAGATGACTTCGGAGAATTTCAAAGCGAAAAGCCTAAAATCAGCAAATTTGACTTCTTGGTGGCCACGTCACAAGGCAAGGTGAAATCTAGTGAAGAAATGATCAAGAGTGAACTTGCTACCTTTGACCTCTCTGTTCAAGGTGAGCATGTTCAGGGTGGTTCGTAACACGTACAGACGCGTCCATTCGGTATTCTGTTTTTTATTAGTGAGCAAATGATATTCTCCCTTGCAGACTGTTCCTAAGCTCGTTGGAATAAATCTGAGTCTTCTGTTGAGTTCAATGGGATTTGTATCAGGCCTTTTTTACAGGTAGCTTCCTACAGATTGAATAGGCCTGGAGCTAGAACTATAATGCATCTCGCTTTGGGAGGCTCACAGTGCTGCTTTTACACCTAGTGATCAATGGACTTCATTTTCCTGGTTGTCAGTGCAGCTGGTTTCCCAGACAGTTGTGGTTTAACTCTTCTATTTATTTAATTTTTTATTGGATAGTAATGTTACTAGTGATAGAGTGGCTTAAGTTTTGCACAGTGAGCCACAGGCATAAAATAAGAACAATTCTAAGCATAGT